TAGCAATTTTTTTTTCTGGAAACTTCACTAATATTCAAGCCGCCCTATCTTGCGTTTGCACGAAAACGTTCCAACACATCCACTACTGTTGAATCTCAGCTTCTAAACGACACCAGCTGCTCGTGTCACTTCATTCATGTGTTTTTAAAGTTTTTACTTTCGAAAAACGATCAATGCTAATTTCGACAAACCAATATATATTACAAAATGCGTTCATCTGAATATTATATCCGGGAATAATAGTCATAAATTATTAAGGCAGAGCGTAAGATGATGGAAAACTATATTGATTTATGCTTTTTGTACATTCTATCGTGTACGTGCAAGCAGTCTCAAAGGAGCTTGCACGTAGTAATAATTACTATGTATTCAATGTTATTAAAATTGACTCTATTCTGGCACTCGTTGGAAGTAATCCTCAATTAAATGGTTGTATCGACCTATTTATAGTAGTAGCATCATTAATTAATTCTTTTTAGGCTAAAGATTGAGCTGGCAAGTTTTAGCTATTGTTGGCTCCGTGCCAGCAAATATTTTACCAACTTTATAACTATATTAAACTGATGTATTTTATGTTGAAACGTCAAAACAGCAAACCTAGTTGCTTAGCTTCGCTGGGCTGTATTTGGAGAAAGGTTGCGGTCGCGTGATATGCCTTCATGCAGAAACTTAATTTCAAGTTCCCCTGATAATCTGGTGACGTATTTCGGAGCAACTTGACATGAAACTCTAGAACCATATTTTGAAATGTGGTTTGCATAGAACATGGTTTGCGTAGAAACTGCTTTTAACAACATCCTTTACACGGCTTGTAAAATCTTCACGTTGCGAAATTTGTTGGTATAATTTGATAAACTATAGATTTCATCAAGAAGATTACAGGATCCAGACAGTTCTACATGATCTAAAACAAAGCTGGCACAAAGATGTTAACTTGATGATCGTAAGGGATAACGCATGGATTGCGAAAGCAGATATGACTCGCCCAGATAGCGACCTCCTGTTGAATGATCGACTACAGGAAACAGCCAGTTAGTCAATGTCTGATGCGGGTCTGTTCTCCATGGAGAAGTATAACATGCCTACGTATATTTAGGGACAGCACGGACTAGCTAGTAGGAATTAAGGGATCGAGTGTCACAGATAAACTGGAAATATTCGGCTAAGATGGAAAAGGGGAAAATCGAAACGAAATTCCCACCGAACAGGAAGCCAAGTTACGTCTTGACATAAAAGCCCCAAGAGGTTGAACAAATAGTTACTGCAGCGCACGATCAGCAAATACTGCATCTCTGTAATGGAGATGTTCACAACAGTCTGTAAGTCCGCGATGACTTCCGCACAGCTCATGGTCGACAGACAAAAGCTTAAAATTTAATTTAAGACAGCGGTAGAAGCCAGAAAACGTTATAAGAGCGACGGCAAGATTTTCACGGGGGCTTTGAAGGGTTTCAACGAAGAAAACTCAACTGACTGCACCAAACACGAACTGACCTGAACAAGGAAATTAAGCGGAATAAGGAAAGAGGTCTTAAGGGCTCATTGAAAATGAGAAAGAAAGCCATCAAAAACGAAAAAAATAGGAAGCAATGAGGGTCTAGGTGACTAATGAGTTGAGTACTAAACGAGGTTATACAGGCAAGTGGAGGAATAGAGCGACAACAGGATCCCTATGTATATTCTCGGACACTGTAAAACACCTGCTAGCCAGCTATCCTGAAACCTTCAGACAGGTTACCATCGCACAAAAAAATGGACGAAATGAAGTGCTTGTGAAAAGGCTGGTGTACCGCTTTGACCATGGAATTGACGCATTGCTCCATTTGGGACCAACCTTGCAGAAGTATCGTCTCCGACGTAGTGCTCAGACGGGTTTTGCCGAACAGAGTGATCACAGTGGTTCATGTAAACGATCCAACGTTGGAGAGCGCTCCCTCTGAAGTAATTTTGCCACACTACAGAGCAAAGCGGACCTAGTGCTACACAATGTAAATAGCTCTATCAGCACGTACCAGTTTAAACCAGCACCTAAGAAGGCAAACGGTATACTACTTATTAGACAAACTCGCAGAGAGGCTCAGTAAACTGAACTCGGGGGGTGAGAGGCTGGGTGGAAGAAGGAGGAAATTAGTTTCCTCAGTGGCTTTGTCAACCGTTCCCTTCTGGGAGAAAAGCTATAGAATAAAAAGAATCGAAGGGAAACGCAACGGTTGCTCCCTCTCCGAATAAGTAGCGCATTTCGAACCGCTACGACCTTTGCTGTGAGTGCTGTTGTACATCATGGTCGAGGGACGGGATAGATGTTTATGGATCAGACGCTTCGCATGATAGATTAGGGATAGCATATTTACTAGTTAATCTTAGCTAATTTTGTTAACACGTTGTCATCTGGACTTGAATCTGGGCATAGGTACACTTTTTTCCGTGTTAGGACCCAGCCATCTGATGGAATGCCTAACGGCGACACCGAGCGTAAAGTTTAAAACATAGAAAGATCAGACGCCTGCTCGAAATAAGGCTAGGCAAAACACTTTTGAAATGTTCTAATAGGAGTAGGTATGCGCAACAAGCATCGCTGTCTGAACCGAAAAGTTGATACCGGAAATCAAAAAGTTGTCTGCTTGCTTGCCCTAGGTCCCCACTAGATGACAATATACCTGAGAGGACTTTCGTAGATTAAAAAGAGAAGCCAAGTAGCTTATGAATCGATTAAAGGGCTCGTCTCCTAGGACACTGCCCACTTTCTGAGGAGGCCAAAAGCAAAGCTAAATAACCCATTTAGCGTTGACGCTATAGTGAACTGTGGCGCATCATGGCGAAGGGAGTTGCGCAATAATCTACGACTACGTGACGAGAATTCTAAAGAGCAGGAGCGAACGACATATGGGCAAATAGTAGAGCTTCCCGAGCCCTGCATCGAATGAAATAAAGGCTCACCCCCTGGAGTCGAACTAGTATCAAGATGAGTAGACACGCAAAGCTGGCCACCTTCGTTAAAATGTGTGTATCAAATGATCAAAAGGATATTGACGTTCTTTTTAACTAAATGAACTTTGAAATCACATGGTCAGTGTAGTATGCGCCACGTCGACATTGTTGTCGTTGGAAGGCTGAAATTTGGCGATGATAGGAGTACCAATAGCATTGGTAGCGTACGACGGAATGCTTTGGAAATGACTGAAGTGTCGGCTACGTTTTTGCGATTGCGTTAGTGTAGAGGTACGAATGTGGTTGAAGATTTAAAATAAAAAAATATTTACATTTTTATGTTTGCTTGAAAACCGTCAATATGACAATATAGACACCGAATAAATATACGCTCGTGCAACAATTAATAGTACACAAACAGTTGGTACAACTAATCTGACTCACTGCGCGCTAAATACTCGTGTATTAGCTGAGGTCAAATCGGACCATGATCTTAACAATTGCGCCTAGTCAATATTGAAGGGTATTATATTAGATAGTAAGAGTTTAATACTTACCCTTGGCAGATTGAGCATAATAAAATATCGAAATTATAAGGAAATTATAGAGCAGGTACAATGCGTACTTCCAAGTGCTTCTCATCTCGTTAACGTATAGCCGTAAATTATCTCACTCCGACCTCGGATACAAATAGTATTTGCCCAATTTCTCAGACGCGCTCCCATATCTCACAATGCTATTAATTTCATTTAAATGGCTCTCTTGCGGAAGCAGTGTGAACATTGTTTTCTTGTTGTGATGATGCAAAAGGCGATGCACAGAATCCTTTAGATGAAGGAGTCTTTATTTCCAGCTGAACAATTCCATACTTCTCCAGTGGTCAGAGAGATAATCGTGTTCAGTTCGATCGAAGCGCCTTAAGTAATGGATGAACGCAGCGATATCAGCCAGCCTATTGACACGATCTAATCTTTCAATTTACGTGATGATAAGCTGATGATGATTATCGAATAGGTAAAAATTCAAGATTTTAGCACACGATACGGTGAAGACTATGATCTCATTTAACGTTGATGGCAAACAGCAGTCTAATGGCACAGATTTTTTACCACTATTAATGTTACTAAAACGACTTGGTGTCAATACGAGGACAGCGCCGACAATGATTTCCGTTACTATTATCGCCGATAGGGCAATTATAGTTTGTAGTCGTTGAAAGGTAAATAGTTATGACCTCACCCGTTACACGAACGAACGGGTGAGGTCATAATAAGCAACCAACGGCCAGGCGTTCTGTTGAATCAGCTAGCTGCATAGACTTCACTTGAAAATGAACGGAAGGGCGAAATCGCTACATCTAACTTTTGGTCGTCTTAGGTTGTTTCTTTTCTAAACATGAATAGGATTTCGATCTTTTAATAAGCGTAGAAAAATGACAGTTTATAGAGCAACTGTTCTTTTGAATAGCCAGTCTAACCGAAATACACGACCTCTTCTATAAACCTAGGTCATGAACTTAATATCTATTCATATTCGTGCAGGTTACGTCCTTCGGACCGAGATAACTTACAAGGGATCAATCAGCCAGTGCATAGAAATACCACCTGAAAAACCTGGCCATTTCATCGTAGCCAAATTAAACTACAACTTATGAGCCATAGAGCAAGGACAGAATACAGGGGGAGTAGCATTCTGATCTGGCTTTATTTCCGGGCCTCAAACCAATGACCGCATTTGTTTGTTACCTATACCTTTATTATATATATATATATATATTAGAACACATTACCTAATACGTTAACGTTTGCAAAAATTAAGTAAACAAGATGGTTAAATGGTCAAAAGAAGTGGACTAGATACGTTTGACTACGTCTTTGTTCGACGTACGTGAAATAGACCAGCGCTATATATACATACGCATCGACCAACCATTAGGCCGTCCCAGGCTGAATGAGTTAATGAAAGGCGCCAGACCAGACTGATTCAGACGTAATAGCAGAAGATAATTATACCGTTCATCTTTTTCTATTATATTTACTAGAAGAAGATCTATATATAATTCGAAATAAAAATAACAAAACCGAAATGTTTAGCGACAACGAACACTTAAAATTATTTTATTCGGTCATAATAAAATCGTAATAGAGGGCTCACTATCACATCCTTAATAGCAGTACTCTTAAATGTTATCTTGGTAAGATTATTCGATTAGTATTGCGTTAATATATTAAAAGAATTAGCGGTGGATACATGATACCGGGCCAGCCGGAATCTTCACCCAAATCTTCTAGAAATCGTCTCCTGTACACCCAGCCTATTAAAACTTGCCATACGATTTTGTTTATCTCCGTGCCTAAACATTTCCAGAAAGATCACTTGTACTAATTCGAATAATTCACACGAAACACTGCAGGATCGGCGACCTATCAGAGTAATTTTTACTAAGAGATTTGTGTTAAATTGTTTATGCTAAAAATAAACACGCGAACATAACCGTGTAGATGTTATCACATCAAGCAACCCAACTTTAACAACGTACAACTGTGCTGCAACAAGTAGCTTATTTGTAAACGTATGTAAGGCTCATGTTATATCGTACGTAGCACGGTTACAAACGTTGAAAAAACAATGCGGTACTTATTAATATCACAGAACAACATAGATAGGAGTTGTTGTTGTTGTGACAACATCTAAACAGCAAGAAACCCTTATCTAGACATAAACAGCTGCGGTCAAGCCTACGTATTTCATAGCACCTAAACCATTACTATATATGGTTACTTAAATTCGTTGCCATAGAACAAATCGTCATAGCACACGCCCATGGAACGTTCAACATTAGCTTTTGAATCTTGTCGAAGACGTGAGGACATGCTATACCTATGCTAAATTAGACTCTTTGCCGTTATGGACGAAAACTATGTTAACAGCCAGCTGACCCTCTCGGTCAATCGCACCTTTCTTTTGCTTCGTTCTCCTTCTCCTGTTACCTTCGTCCTCAACTTTGATATACCTGTATATAATATTATCAAACTACCCGTACTTTGAGGCCGCTCAACTCTATTGGGTAACGTTTCACTCTATATATCGCTTCATCTCGTTTTCGTTAGAAGCTACAAAGATGTCAGCTTTACAGCGTTACACGCTGAACAGTGGAGCTCGAGACGCTCAAGCAGCATTATTATTAGAGCAGAGAGTCAACGGCATTTCTACTGTATTAAGCTAATGCAGACCATGTAGGACCCGCATTATAGAGAGAGCGAAGTACATTGTTGAGTTGAGGAAGATAGTTTTCCTCTATTTAATAGCAGGCAACGTGAGATTTCCCCAGTCGCAAAAAAATATCGGTAATTGGCTCCAAAAGCGAATGTCCAGGCTACGTCCTATTTTGTCTAGGGTTCACTGGCAATATCGCTAACATCAGTAAATAGCTAAATGTAGGAGAGGCAATCGGCACATGTCCACTTTTGAAACGCTATCAAAAACATTGTCGAACGGTTAGTTTATTGTTTTTTTTTTCGCCTTTCATCGTTAGTAAGTAATAAGTTTAGTATCAATATAACTACGTTGTATATATATCTATGTAATTACACGATATCGTCTCATTTTTTGCCTCACGAGTCGTATTAGTGGGATGATCGTTGCTATGCTATCGTTCTAAAGCTTTGCCAGATCGGAAGGAAAGTTTAGCTTGTTCAATGTGGCCCAAACTACTAGACAAGAAAACCTCTGACCAGCCACCAATCTCGCCTGGCTAGTAATCCAGCTTTAAGTATAATAGCAGTTCTGAACAGAGCAGAAAAAGTATTTCGCAAAAATTAAAACATCGTCACTTAGATAGTTGCTTTATCGTGCATCCAGAACCACATTTAATCAACATGGCCCGATTTAGCAAGAACAGCCGTCTTCAACGTACAACAACAAAAACGATTACGTTAACATTGCCCCTAGAACCGACGTTCTGCGAATTTCTCCTTTTCCATCTTAAGCACGCGTTCAACTTTGTGCTCACCGCTATTATATGCCCCTCGAATGTTGCCTGTATATTTGAAACTATTCATATCATACTCTCTCGTCGAAACTTGCTTTGTTCCCCAGCCTCCTCTTCTCCGTTCTTCTAGCTCCCGAAAGCTGCCAGAGATTGCTAGCCCTGGCGAAGCATCCCTAAAAACGGCCGTTTCCTTTAAGGTATAATCACTACGGAGGTAATTTCCGTATCAGCTTAGGCAGATGCAAACACATATACGCGCACCTTGGTAACACGTGCATTTTGGTAGCACGCGCATGCGTACTAAAACTATCATACTTTGTACAAGCAAACGTATTCTTCAAATAAATTGCTGTTAAAAAGAACAACCTGCAATAATCAGCACATATCTCAGCTAAACTACATCTACCACGCATGGTCATACATATAAGACGCCCATATAATGATCATCAAAATGATACCTTTTTTGTATTACTATTGCTACTGCTGCTGCTATCGGTCATTATTGCGAATCTGTGATTCACCTTCTAAGAGGCAGAACGATGAAAACTTTCCTCATGTCTTCCACACAGGTGTTTCCATCCAATACGCATCACCGAGCCGCAGACCGCTATAAAAAAACGCCAGCGTGCTACTACATAATCTTGAGCTAGTTATAAATCTGCTATTTATGATTAGTGCAGATAAATCGAGTAACGGACTCAAGTAGCAATTAGAATGATTGTTATATGTGCCCGATACAGAATGATGGCGTATAAGTTGAATAACTATAGTGCACTGCAGCGCTTCCTACCGCCCAAAAGGAATTATTTCTAATTTTTTTACTTTTTTCATTGCTTTAGATCGCCGCCTCTCCGATCGCAGTCATCGCTGCAAGGCGTGCATAAGAATGAGCTAATTTCCGGCCTGAGGTTAGCTCGTTTGTTTTGGAGCGTTGTTACTTTATCTATCGATTGCCCATATATCTTCGGAGAAATGATGATTTTTGAAACCAGGATTCTCCCTCGTCTCCCAGTAGCGATTGTTGTACACCCAATTTTCTTCCCCGTTTGCGTCAAATACCTTCCTATCAAAAACAATGCAAAGAGTACAACAGTGGCAGTATTTCAACGTTAGTGTTTTGCCGTACGTATCGTCGTTCACACATGATAAGAACACAAGGTATCTGTTTTCACGTGAAGCTTTCAACTTCATACTTATTTTCATACATACATATTTATTAGTATTAATGTTAATCGATGCACTTTAATATAGTATAACGAAAAAAGCTTTAGTAAAACACTTTTCGTAAGTGATACTTAATAATAATAACTAATGGTAATTTTATCTAACCTTCCACTACTAACTAATTACACTTAAGAGCTGTCATGCTAGTTACCTGAACCACATTGGGTAGTATTCCTCACCACGCTCCTCTCGTATTTTTCTACGTTCTCTCTGTGATTGTTCCAGCCGGGCTTTCATTGCTTCTGCTCCATCTATATCGCCGTTTTCGAGTAACCTCTGGTCAGGCCTGAGAAGGGTCCATTTTGAAAAAGTACAGCGTTAGACCTCTATTGAAAGTAATAATGAGTGAGATTATTGCACATGTTAACATACCATTCGGACACTGGATCTTATCACAAATAGCCGTTTGTTCGCAATAGTCAATCTTCTTGAAGTAGAGGTGCACTTCAGCGCACGAAGGTGTTTTCTAATCAGTCGTTCAATGCTGATCTTCCTAAAGATAATTTCATGTAATATCTTTGTTAACTATGGATGCGAAAGGAAGTGTTTAGGAGTGCAGACACAACCCAGGCTATGTAACCCAATTAGTATAACTGGCAGTTCATCAAATCGCTCGGAGAACGCACCTAAAACGCGTATCGGTCGGTGGCAGAATCAATTCTTGGCCGGGCTGTAGCTCGTTGAGTTGCATGGCAAAACGAGAAAACCCATAATAGAGCTCATAATCCTCCGGCATCTGCCCAGGTCGCCAAACGCAACGGGCCGTGGACGCTACTGGCCCGCAGTAGATACCTTCCGTCCATTTGCCCATTAAGTGGTGAACTGGATTTTTCAAGCCATCCAAAACTGAACCATAGACCTCGTGCTTTTTGTCTGACCAATACGATGCCTAGAACACGAAAAAGACGAAGACAGGATCGAACATTGCGCACAAGACAGAACTAGGAAAAATGATAGTTGTCAAAAAAAATTAACTATAGGTACAAACAAGTTATAGCTGTTAAATTGGACGAAATTGTGATTTGCTGAATTCAAGCAGTGTCGTAAACTACAAATACAACGTTTTGTACAGGTATATTCGTCCTACTATATCTTGTATACCTCAATGAACTAACCTTGACAAACGTGAGCTTGCATGTAATTTTGTGAGTGATATCTTCGATCTTCATTTCGCCGTACTGATCGGCCCAGCGCTGATTGTTGGAAAACAGATTGTGTACGCATGTGGTCACTTTGTTCCATACATAGTGCGAATCGGCTACCTGCAGATGGACCTTGCCCACGGGCATTATCTCCATTGATTTTCCCCAGAATTTTGTCTTCATTCGTATGTCTTGCCAAAACGTAAAGTTGCCCCCGTCCGCAAAACAGGCCGAAACAGGCGGATGATGCTGTACCTGTTCGGCAATAAAACTAAACCAGTACAAACAATATAATTGAAGTGCGATATTTTCGCTGTTGCACTGTCGATCTAAGCCAACCTGTATATAACAGTTTCACAGTTGTCGGCAAACGAACATGCCATGATCAGTCTAACGTGTCGTTGTAACGCACGCAATTTAGAACACAACAAAAGCTCGTTGATACCTACCGGAAGCCCTTGTCCTCCCTGATGCATTCGTAAGTCTCTCCGAGAAGCGGATTGAAAGGTTTATGGCCTGCTCGATAATAACTGGACGCATAGCCCGATACGGCGAACGCAGCGATGTGCACCATTCGTTCAAGTGCATCCTTCGTTTCAGCTGCCTATAACACCGTGATACAATGAAAAATTAAATGAAGCCCATTAGTCTTACAATTGAAAGTCAATTATAGAAGGTAGAGAATGCCACAATAAGCTGAATCGGAAGTCGGCCATTTTGTGGATTCATAAGAACACCGGACGTTTGTCGTAAGGGTAATTTCTTATGATAGACAGAGAACTAATCATTTGCAAGAGAAAGCTCCCGCCGATAAGCAATCCTACCAGACATTTTAAAAAAGTACCTGTGTAAACTGCGACTGTTTCTAACAATGTTTTGCTATCGCTTAGCTGCCAGTTGGTATTATATGAACTCGCGATGACCTGTTACATGCAACATCACCTTTTAAATACCATCTAAGGGAACTGTGTGAAATATGCTTTTTCAGAAAAACTAACATGCAACAATTACCAGGTCCCCGTTTCGCCAAAGGCCATTACTTCTTGAAGTCTACCATGATGACTAGCTATCCAAATGTCAGTCTATACGTATTGGCTAAGCTGAAATGGCGGCATCTAAATGGTTTCAAATCAAGCCCTTGAAAACAAAGTGGAAAATAATGCATACATAGCCTTTAGTGTCATTGAGGGTGACTAAGCTATCCAGTACGCAACATTCTACAAGTGAAGTTCGGCCAGAACTTACTCGACGGAGGACACTGACTTCATTCGAAAACAGGTAGCGACGCGTAACTGCACGCATATCAATGATGTTACAAGCATACGAGGTGGCCGTTTGCCAAACAGACATTCGAACAAAGCGAAGAAAAGTTCTCTTCTATCGATTGTTTTAGTGTCTTATTTTAGAATAACTTGTCTTTTTTTGCTACGTTTCTACCTTATCAATCAATTCGCTATACTCGAGCTCTTCGCATAGCCGCTGCAGCATATTGAGCGGCTCATTGATCGTTACAGGCATTGACACCTTCGACAAATCCTTGCCGATGTTCTTGTATAGTAGCGACCATAACCCGTTATCGCTATTTGGCGGCTTAACAGCCGGCAATTTCGTGCGACGAGTTGTTAAGCTGTCCACTATTCCGCCTGCAAGCCCTCCATTAGCTACACCGCGCGTTGGGGCATTGTACTCTGTTCCGTCGTCCGAAGCTGCAATATTGTAATCACAAAATTTACTCCACAGATTTTCCTGTTTCCGTAACGTCACCTGACTATAATAGTACTAATATCCAGAACCTATTTTGCTTTGTAATTTATTTGCCATTTATCTACACACGATGCGAGTAGATACCAAACGAACTCAATCTAAAGCGTATAGCTAAATGTTTTAGTTTCATATATGTACATATTATAGTACAAACCAACCTTCACCTTCGGTGTCCCCTTCAGAGCAGAATGATCCCTCAGACGATGACGCGCAGACGCTGAGCTGCTCTGCAGCGTCGTAGAACTCGGTCGTCGAGAGCAGACTCGACGTTTCATGGCTACTCTCATGGACCAGACGACGAACTGCACTAGCAGGGGTCATAGAAATCGGAACCGTAACTTGTGTGGGCGTCACTGGCTGGACAGCTGCCGCGGTTGTTTCTTGCGGTTCTTCTGAACTGACTATGTCTAAAGCTGGATCCGAGTCGGTAGTGCCCACAATCGCGCGAATTTTTGCCAGTCTTTCTTTGAGTTCTATATTCTGTCGTTGATAGGCATTCAGCGTACTACGAAGGACATCTGCCTCGGGAGACACTCGTTGAAGTGATGCACGCCGCTGCTGAGATTCAAGCTGCCCCGCCAAAGCCTGGAGATCTGTCAATAGGTGACGCGCGCTGTCAATGAAGTCCTGAGCCGCTTGGGTATTCTCATTCGACATCACGGCTGCATGTGTGCAACAGTCAGAAACAGCTATTACTGCCGTAGCTCCTCCTAAGCTAGAGCCGCAGCTCGGCAAAGCCACGCTCATCTCGCTCATATGATCGTATTCCTGACAACACACGAAACAAAAAAGCGCAAAGTGTTTTCTGCCCTTGTGACAACATTCAACTTTTTCCTCTCAACATTAGCAGCACTAAATAGATGGTGTCCAAATATAATGTTCGTTGACCCACCTCCTTAGGAGGGAGATGATGCGGCAATTGGTCCTGCTGTGACTGCGATAAAACAGCGCCGGGACTATGGGGAGCCTGGGCCAACGAACCAGCTCCACCAGCTGATCCCTGATAAGCCTCTTGTAAAGCTGTTGATGCGACATCTTTGCCGCTGCCGCCCCCGCCGTCCTCGCTAGCTGGACCCCCCCCGTTAGCATCGTCATCGCGTCGCTGCCTCCGCGGCGGCTTCTTGCGCGGGGGCGGTCGCACCGTGAAGCTATGCACGCTGTCCTCAAGATTGGCCAGCTGCTTGGAAAGGGAAATGAGCCGATCGGAAACACTAGTTGGGGCGGGTGTATTCAGAACCCATGCCAACACGCGCTGGTCAGTCGAAGCAGCTGTTGATGACCTAACAAGCCGCGCATCAAAGACGTTCAATAGATTGTTGTATGCTTATGCCAATTATGTGGACAGATACTGCGGTTATTAGCTAACTAGATGGCAGGTTAGAGGCTGGCAACCCCCCAGCCGCTTAAGACATGGAAAAAAAATAAATATGCGTCTAATGGACAAAATTTTACTAGGGACGCCGCATGATCGTGTCTTATCATATTGGAGTGAGACCCATCTTATTGGATATATAACTCTTGACGTTTTAAAAAAATTAAGATTAATTTTTGTTAAAGATGTAAGGTCAAAAGTCAAAAATAAGATAATTGTATATTTTGTGTGGGAAATTTCAACCTGGTATGCGCCAAACGACCCCGCCTACTCAGTTAAAATGAAAGAGATTCGTCGGAGCTAGATTGGCTTACTTTGAAAAAAACAGCAAATTTTGTTACTACATTTTGTCTAGAAGAAGACTACATTGTCATAAATCATTCTAAAGACAATTTAGTCTAGGTCGATATCACTCTTGCTAAATCGCGGATGTGGAATCCATTAACAAATACGATATTTTGCCGTAAATAGCAGAAAGGTCAATGCTTAAATCAGTAATAACCATCTATAGTAGAAAAATTGTTAAAGCCTAAGCCATCACGTGAGAATTGACTTTCGTATAAAATCAGTCTTAACATATGTAATAGGATGGATTTCACTGTAATTTTCCAGAAATTTTTTCAGGTTTTGTTGAATGGACAATCGGCTGGGTCGCTTTCCCGAGTAACTTCGGTGTAACAACAACATATATTCAGATTCCACAAGGCGCGAACACAACCTCAAGCTTCGACTACAGGGTCAATTGGTACTCGTAGGCCCCCGGTATTCACGCCCTTCTTGTCCTTCTAACTGATACCTTAAGAAGCATTTTTAAGGGGCATCTTTTGTATGTAACAAGATGTGGACGTCGAGGTCACAAAGCTGTCTGTTGTATAACGTAACTATCCACTATTTAAACGTGACAGATTTCGTGTTGGTTACGGCGCACCACAAAGCTGTGTAAATACACACAACTAACAGAGTCATCGAATGCATAATACTGTAGTATGCATTATTTTTCCCTAGTGGCTCGGACGGATGAGATATCAGATGGAAGAGGCGCCTATGCACGACCGCGCTCTGGAGTGGGGGATAGTCTGCCGCACGTGGCCTCTGCTTATATTATGTCACAAAAATACTATTTACATATGATATCTTTCAATAAGGTCTTAAACGGTCACTAATTACGTACGCATTTGATCAGATTATGTAGGTTATATTGAAACAAAGTGGGAGACTCGCGTACCCTTTGCATGTCGATGCAGTCGGACATTTGAGGCTTACCTTGGACTCGCGGTGTCGTATTTTGCCAGTTCTTGCTGCTTGTACCGCCGATGCGCAGAAATAGACTCGATCCATTTATCAAACGAACCGTGATCTTTGAGCTGGTAAAAAGATTTACGTAGCACACAATTAGTTTGCATGCTGGTATATGCAACACGGTAAAACAGCTTTTCTTCAAATGCCTCTGGAGCCTGACTGTTGGGACACTGGGTTGTTGGTGTCATTTTGAAATATACCTTTTACTTGGAACTAGTTCTGTTCGAGCGTTTATTTTCCATTCATTTTGGTATGACGAACGGTTCAGGTGCTATGTTGAACACCAGTAAACCTGGATTTCCCTAAAATTTAGTTATGTTTGTTGTTCGCTGGCTACATCTACAATGCTATTTCATGCATTACCTTAAGATGGTAAATGAATTCGTCGGCGTCAATATCGATTCGCAGATCTTTTGATTTATATGATATAAATGCAATAGCCAGGTCGATCTGACCGTGACTTCTTCCACGAGCCATCTCGCTGGAGTTTTTTGCATACGAAAGGATTCCATTCTCCAGGAAAAAGAAGCGACGGTGCCAACCTGAAGCACAGGACATAAAACGGTCAGTACAGAATCGTTCACTTCGCAATACTAGGTTATGGGTTAACCACTACTTTGTCACTACAGCCACAACGTTAAGAGACTGCTATCTACAGCAAATAACAGACCTTTAAGTGGCCATTTTCGTCTTTTCATTATGTATCCTTCATGTTTTGATGGCCGCTCCTTTGGAACCGTTTCTCCAGGTTTCAGACCACGCATCACCTCCCATTCATCATCTTTATACGCTTTTTGAAGCTTCTTCTGTATAGCCTTAGAGGGGCCTGGACCGGATAGCATGGCCGCTCCTACAGAGCCTGTTACAGTAGACCCCGTTCCCACCGATAGTGGTGGGGTCGTACGGCCGTCCCCGGGGCTCATTATATCCTGAAACGTCCATTTGTATTGGTATCAGAAAGAGCAGGAACTTAACAGGTCATCCGCTAACTAACACATAGTCGACTCGACTCGAACTGTGCAAAAAATGACTACTAAAACGCATATTACAATATGCGAGGTTATTGTGAATACAGCGCAGTAATAATAGGACCACATTAAGCCATATGAACATTTTGTGGATGTCTCACCAAAATGCTACTTCTGCACCATATGCCACAAAGCCTCGCTTCGACGTCAATAGGCCTACGCCTATTCTACATTCTATTTAGACCTAGCCTTTTCCTACTCACGCATAAGGGACATGTTCCGACAGGATACAACCCTTACATTGGTTCAGTTGGCCACATAATAAGCGTTCGTCGTGCAGAGAGTCAAATATGTTACAAAGGATATTTCGGCCAGCGGATTTCGCAGTGGCCAGAGGAACGCGTGATATGATAACCGCAGAGGGGGAAGCTATGTATATAAAGTAGATTGCTCACCAGATAGATTTAATCCGGTGAACAGTCGACTTAGTCAGCATTAAAACCTGCGGCAGCATCAGATGATGGACTATCCGACTGATTATGCGCCAACCGCTTTGCTAAACGTAATTTTTTTTTAAAATAAAAGTGCTATACTTAAGTATTTGAGCACACCCTAGTCAGCCGTCTTCCATTGGAACAAAAGCTCGGATGGCAAACATTGCGTGATCACGTTTAAAGAAGGGAAAATTTTGCGATAGGAGCAACGGGACGTTATGCATTCGTACAAATAATGTTTTGCCAGGACTGGTATTAAAATGAAGTATTTGATCGTGATTACAAACAAACATGTTATCAAGTTTTTTTTGTCAGCGCAACATAAATATCGAAATTGCAAACGTTACTTTTTTTACTAGAAATTTTAACAAGTATATAACGCAAAACATTCGAAGAACAATCACTAAATGAAAATATTCCTTCTATTATAAAGCTATATAAATCTATACGAGAATTTAACAATTTTGTTAAATTAACAGAATGAACAATAGTAAGGTTTCTGAGGAAAATACTCAATTTTAACAGTGGACGAAAGCAGAACAGAATTATGGAGAGCTCGGTTTTCGTACCTTCCCGAAATGTAATACATTAACAAATCTTTCAGTAATACTAACCTCGAGATGATTTTATGAGCAATGACATGCTCTGAAATGTGTGTCTGAAACTTCGTGTCTGAAACGATTATACCGTAACCGGTACGAGCCCAAATGTCAAACCAGTATAACAAACCGTCAGCAAGCGATACGCGTTGTAACAATGGCAATATGCAAGCGTATGAATGAGATCAGACTAATGGTCTGGCCACTGTGGGCAAAAAAAAAACTCTTATGAGAAATGTTTAGATTAACAGATAGATACATCATCGAATAGTCACTATGACCCAATCATAGATCATCACCTTAAATCTATTTCGTGTTTGATGGGATTCAACGACCTCTCGCTCCTAAGCACGAAAGCAATGCAATAATTAGGAATGACTTAAAATAGAAAAAAGAACACTATTTTCTATATAATGCAGCATTTTCATGTGAATGTGTGCAGGTATTTTAGACAACGGCAAGTGCTAAAGACAAGCTGCAGGGGATATTTGCCTGGAAATGGAATTTTCTTAGCAAAGAATACAAATATATGTAAATAAATACCTATAATTGTAGCTAGCTTGTTCGAGATCGTGTAAGTAAATGGCTGCGAGTGTATCATATTAAGCTATTGTAACCCAATGAGCGAACAACACTTTTTTTCTCATAGCCATTAAATATTCAAAGCGTATGGTGTACACGCCATAGCAGACCACTATTCAGATGGCGTGTAAACAAAGGTCTGTACCGCTGCTTACTATACGACTTGTAGATGATGATCTTTTTTTTTAAATATGTATCGTGTATTGCTTCACTTACTATGAAAATGATGAGTGAACTTGTAGTACGACCAGGTTAATGTTGGAATGACACTCTTCGGCAAATGGGCCGTATTTATAGTAGGTGTATTGGAAGACACATGGCCTTTAAAAGCTTTTGAAGTGTGATTTTCGATATAACACAAAGCGTTCGCCGCTTTAATGCTCAATGATATATTTACAGGTTTTTGTAGCGCTGAAAAGGACAGCTTCCTAATTTAGCTATGTAAGTTCGCGGCCCTGTTACTGGCATACTGTGTGGTATACAGATTTTTGTGCTATAAGTTGAAACATACATTTTGTAGACGACGTCGACAACAATGTACATATAAATAACAGCCTTAATATGATCAAGACACGCCACTTTCCACGTAGACCATAACACATAAAATTATTAAGCAATAGCAAATATATCTTGTCTTCCAGCTACCTTTTTGATTAAGCGTGGTCTTGCAGGGACCAGCACGCTCTCCGACAAACTGTAAACTATACTGAGTAATATATTGGGCATGCTTGCTTCTGTACAATGAATGATAAAGTTAATGAAATAGTACGCTCAAGTGTGCCCTTTACTTTATTGATGAATGAATAAGTTCGTTCTGCGACCAATCTAATAGCTGAGCTCGTAAATAAGCAATATATATATATATATATGTATATGTACAATAAATGTCGTTCCGTTGTATTATTTGATTTATTCCATCAATCGGTCAATCTCGCAAACGCTGGGGAACCAAAAAAGACAAAAGTGCCACGGGAAATTGATCGGTAGGCACAAATTAGGTAGCCAGAAACCGATAATTCACTCGCTTCCGGCAGATCGGAATCATCAGGATTATATGGGACTCAGCGCGAGCTATACAAGATTTCTCTTAACGTTGTACGGCTCGCGTTGGGCTTTACATAATTCAAATAACTAGGGTTGTGCAGTGGTAAAATCACCGAATGTTTGTCAGCCCAAATCCTATTTCCAATACAACTAGCAAAATCAAAAGAACATTCAACATTTTAAATCAGTAATAGAGATTATTTGTTCATTTTACTGAGCCGGTCTCCTTAAGCGAATATATCACTCCGATATCTATGTTTAATGACACGTACGACACCGCACCCACTTTGACCCGAAGTTCTGTATACGCGTTTTTCTGTACTGAAGGCCTATGTGCCTCTTGTGTATTTCTACCAACGAACGCTATCACCAAGATTCGACAAATTGTTCTTCATAGCTCAATGCGATTTGTCGTTCGCTATTTTCTCATCCCGTGACCATTCAGATAGATCGAGCGCTTTTAGCTGAACTTGCGTAGCGGGATGCGGGATGAAGTTAGACCAACTTGAGTCTTGGCCTTGTCTCCAGCAAAGTAAGTTCGTATGATAACATCCAACTAGGTAAAACAACACAGTGTTGCAACGTGATAAATAACGCAGAGAAAGGCCGCCTTATTACCCGTTGAAGCTGCCGCGTCTCAGTCGCTTTATCGTCGTCTTTGTGTGTGTCTATGTGTGTCTTACATCGCCGGTGGTCCCGGCTTGCGCAGGCGCCCACAACAGGTAGAATTTCGTGTCACAGAACAAGCCGACACAACTATGCTATGAAGAAAAAAAGAACTAAATGGAAGCCAATATTAAGCAGTGCCATAACGTATGACAAGGTGAGCAACTGACAGGACAAGCTGACCTTTCTGCTCACTCATAGACACACGACGTGTAACGCGTAACACAGACTAAAGTGGAGGTTCTCGGCTCCACCTACAGTTCAGCCGCTCCATAAAGGAACGAACACCGTACACGGCATACAAATGACTAGGCATCTTTGTGCCCCAGCAACATTCTAGTCGCTGGGTCGACTTTTACTAAAGTGATCTAGCTTGTATAATAGCTTGCAACTATCTAATACGAATGAATGACACGCTATAAACATCGTGGCCCGTATCTAACAGATAGGGCATAAACAGGTTTATTTCTCACACTGTATTAAAAGCGTTAGATTGTAAAGATCTAGCATACGCCGAACGCCACACGCGTTCTTCATTTAGCACAATAAGGCTCCGCACAAAAATTAGTATGTAGCCTATTATTGAATGCGAAAACAACCAAAGTTGCAATCTCTTACCATCTGCATCGTAGATGACTTTGACATGCATTAAAATCGCTCACATAATAACACTTTACCGTGAAAGCTCTCCGGAAGTTCAAACTTCGCGCCATCTGAAATGGGTGCTCCATCGAGATTTCTGCTTGGCTAGCGTTTTTAGTCTAATATGATTAAAATTGAGTTGTATACTTCGACATCAAACAGACCGCCTTACAGAGCAATCGGATATAAACACCGGGTATATTACCGCAGTCAGTGGTTGTTACGGCAAAGCAGTCTGCCTCAAAACGAAAACTTCCTTTTTCATTAGACGTATATTTATTAATTAAAGAACGATATTCTAAAGACCCTTGTGGAGGCAAATTTCGTAGCTAGTTCCTCCAAATATAATACATTTATATATATGTTGCATATACGCGCCATTCAGTTATTTTTGGTGTGCTATTTCTCGACCCATAGTCAACAGCAATAAGCAAGTATCACTAAATGCCGTAAAGCTTCGCCATAAATTAAACTCGAGGCCGCTCTAGGTAATTGCGATAGAGAATTAGAATAGGTAGCGGTTCGGATATAAAACAGTGTTAGCAGATACTGCGTACCGCCAGCATTTTGATTTAAAGCAAAAAGTTGTTCGCCCAATGACGTTGAGCACCGATAATAAGGAGAAAAAGAAAAAAAGACCTATTAATAAATAGAGCCCATATTTATGGCTACATGGTTGTGGCATATAACCTACGAGATTAAGAGTAACAGCTTAGATCTAATAAAATGAAGCAGAGGTTGTCGATAGAGGAAGGCCTCAAGCGAAATCAACAAAAAGCATCTTGAAACCTTAACAATCAGGTTGAGACTAGTTTCAGTTCTGCAACCGACCTAAAGATACTAAGCACAGACGTAAACTATTATCCTCTATTGTGTTGCAGATGAGCCGAATTTAACTAGCCGTATACCGAAAGCCTACATTTGACATATGTCATAATTGGGGCTTCAACTAGCCAGATAATATGTGTAATAATCTATTGCTCTGTTGAATGAATGAAATGAAATGAACAGTGAAACGGAAGAATGTGTACCTTTAACCGTCAAACAACATGAGGAACCTTTTTGAAATAATTGGTCCACAATCAAATTGTGGTGGGCACTTGCTATAGCCTTTGCCTAGTTGGCAACACTATATA